TGGCGGTTCAAGCCCACCAGGCACTCCTCAGAAGGAAGATGGGGCAATCTACTTCCGTAGTGATACTGCCTTGGAAATCCAAGGAGGGATCGCTACCAGTCGGGTCCGACTCGACGGCACATAACAACAACAACAACAACAAGTCAAGGAAAGGCTTGTATATGGAAGGCAATTTTCTTTGGTGGTTACCAGGGGTGGGAGGGAACACTGCTAGATAGGTGGAGACAAGCACTGATTTGAGTGAAGGGAAGGGCAACGTACCAAATGTGAGCAATCAACATGGTGGCACTGAGGAAGAGTAAGACAGAGAGAGGTACATGGGAGGTATAGACAACAAAGATGAACCCTTTTGCACATACAGTACTTCATTGCCAGTGATGGCAAACATTGGTATTAATAAGAAAAATAACGATTAAGTATGTCTACTCCTCGGAAGGAAAGTTGGGCAATCCTACTTCCATAGTGATACTGCCTCAGAAACCCAAGGAAGGGTCGCTATGAGTCAGGGCTGACTCGATGGCATATAACAACAACAACAACAACATGATTAGGTATGTCTATGCAGGGGGGAGTGTGCCCATGACCATGTATAGGGTTGAGACAACGTTTCTACAAGTGTATCTGTATGTGCTGTAAGAATTTCCAAGGATATAGTAGAGATGACAAGTGACAAGGTTGTAGTCACTTCTTGGCCATAACCAGACACCCAAAGGGAGCAAGTAGTTGGACCTGTGGGCTTGGGACCATGGTCAGAGGGGATATCAAACTCAACTGGCGTAGCATACTACACAAAAACATTGTTCCACATCCTACTTTGGTGAGTAGCAACTGGGATCTTAAAAGCTTGCAAGCAGCCATCTAGATGCAACAATGGGTCTCTCCTCGTCCAGAGCAAAGAAGAATGAAGAAAATCACAGATGCATGGAAACATTTAGTCCAAGAAACTGGTACACCATGCATTCCTCAGCCTATATGACTCTGAGACGAGAAGAACTTGATGGTGCCTGGCTACCACTACCAACCACTTGCAGGGGAATCTATGTAGGAGAGATCTACGTAAATACATAGATAAGAGTGAGAGAACAATGTGGAACAAAACTCAGAATTATTGAGAAAAAAAAAAAAAGGGACCAGGTTTGCTGGTAGAACCCCTGAGACTATGGTCGCTAGCTGCCCTTCAGGTTCTGGAATTGAACCTTCTCCTGTGGCTTCCAGCCAAACAAAAGACAGGCATATGAGCTGAACACATTAGGTAGATACACTCCTTGGTGAGATCAATCATGGGAGAATAGAAGGGCTGTGTACGCACAGGAAGATAGCTCAGGGGGCAGGAGTGCATGGAATGGAAGGACACAGGGAAGAGGTAATATGGGGAAGAAGTGGGAAGTGAGCTGTTGCATTGTAGGAACTTGCAGTCAATGTCATGAGACAAAGTGTATGTGAACTGCTGTATGAAGAATGACTATGCTCTGTAAACTTCTACCCAAATCACAATAAAAATTAAAAAAAATAAAAAGTATGAAAATTGTGGTTGCTCCATATCCTTGCCCACGTTCTTTTTTTTTTATTCACTCTGACAGGTATACAGTAGTACAGCATTGCTCTGACGAAGAATGAGACTGTGTCCCTTTTCTAATGTCTGGCCCTCTGAATATCTTTTTTTGGATGCCTATTTATGTTCTCTTCCCATTGAAAAAAAAATGTATTCTTTTTCTTATTCATTCATAGTTCTTTACATGTAAGACGAATTGTATGTCAGATATATATACCACAAAAATGTCTTTTCCCATTCTTTGGCTTGCCTTTTCACTTGGCATCTTTCGATTAATAGATGATCTTACCATAATTCAAATTTTGAAATTTTCTTTATATTTAATGTATATTATATTTTATTGAATAACTCTTTAATGGCATAATGTAGATTTTTTCCCACAAAATTTTTTCACATTTAGATAAGATGCCATTCAGAAATGATTTTTATGTATGGTCTAAGTTGAAGTCATGATACTTTTCACTCCTCATTTGTCTATCTGATCAACACCATTTATTTGACCTTCCTTTTCCCATTGTAATGTTGGTCTTACTACACACTCAAAATTATCAGTTTCTTTTTTACTCCCCTGAGTTTTGGATTCAGGCTTTGAAAAAAAAAAAAACAACTCACTGCCGTCAAGTTGAATCCAACTCATAGCAAGCCCTCCTTGGGTTTCCGAAGTAGTATCACTACGGAAGTAGATTCCCCAACCTTCCTTCTGAGAAGAGTGGCTGGCGGGTTTGAACCCCCAGCCCTCTGGTTAGCAGTCAGATGCCTTAGGCACTACACCACTAGAGCTCCCAAGCTAGCAGGGTAATGTAGTGCTGACGATACAGAGAAGTAACAGAGAATTTCATCTTTTACCTTGCTTAGTTTCATAATGTTTGTTATTTTTATGATTTGTAAATTACCGGAAAAATATCATTTCTTTAAAGAAATTCCAATCATCCCCCATTAGAAAACACTGGCCCAATTGGTGTTTTTCTGAGGCTTTCATGGCCTCATTTACCACAGTTAAATCTTTACCTGGAGCTCATTCTGGTTTGTGGTACAAAGTAGAGGTCTAACTTTTTTTCTAAATATGGCTAGCTACTTATGTTCTTTTATGTTTGACAGTTTTCTTCCTCCAGTAAAGTCTGAGTTCTTATCGATTGTGTGTTGTTAATAAGAATATTAACTCTGACTGTTCCCAATCTGTCACCAACCAATTTGAAAAGATTTTCAAATTGCTTGAGGCTGTATATAGCCACACAACATAAATATACACAGGAAAATAAAAACTAAATTCTAATCCTAAATCTGGCATTGATTTGTATGGTCTTCAGTCTAAGACTTACAACACGTTACCGAAATACTTCAACTAGCCAAAACTTAATCCTATGGCAAACTTTGTATCTGAACAGGACACGAAAGACACCATACAGCAATTAAAATAAAAATAAAAGATCATAAATCTCATTCTTTAAAGAAACAAGGGTCACTCTTACTTTTTTTTTTTTTTTTTTTTGCTTTCACTTTGTATACAATTGTTCTAACCCTGGATCAGCCCCATAGTCCACCAGACCCACTTCTATACTGAAATGGTTACAGACACTTGGAGAAAAAAATACTCAAAATAGAAGCCATTATTTTGCAGAGCATCAATATTTATTGGATTATCCCTCAAACCTACTGCTGTCGAGTAGATTCCCACTCACAGTGACCCTATGTTGTTGTTGTTATGTGCTGGGGAGTTGGACCCGACTCATAGCGACCCCTCCTTGGGTTTCCGAGGTAGTATCACTACGGAAGTAGATTGCCCCATCTTCCTTCCAAGGAGTGGCTGGTGGGTTTGAATCACCAGCCTTCTGGTTAGCAGTCAAGTGCCTTTAGGCACTATGCTACCAGAGCTTCTACAGTGACCCTATACAACTTGTCAATTCTTTTACTTTTTTTTTTCCCTCCGGTCATTTTAAACTTCTGATTAGCTTTCCGTAGGAAAATCACTATTTCTATCACTTACGGTCAGATGATCTTACCTCCTATATCATGACAACCATTCCTTGCAAACTTACTTATATTGATGCTTTTTAGATACACCTTGGATCCTCAACTCTTTCTTCCTGGTCTTAGATGAAAAAGCATTTTTTCCTCCAATTTAAGACTAATATCTTAATTTATGCACAGTGAAGGAAGAAAGAACAAAAAGGGACAAGACTTATTAATTAATGTTTCTGTCGAGGAACTCTGTTCTATAATTTATCTCCTGCTGCAATCTTGGTTTCTGCTGGTCATTCTACAAATATACTCTAATGCCTTTCACTGTTTACTTGACATTTTACTCTTTCCATGTATTAATTCACTCTCTCGCCTTTCTTAGGGGAGGAGTCAGTATTCTTCCTTCTTTACCTCCCATTCATTCTATAACTCCTCCTAAAGCTTTATGACTGTCTTCATCTGTAGATAGTGACAGAAAGTAACACAGTGATACTGGACTAAACCAATTCAAAGGGATGACAGAATTTTTGTTGAGGCATCTGTTTATGTACTCATCTGGAAATACTCCATAGGCTCTGGAGCCAGGTTGGCTGTAATCTTTATGGAAGCTGCTCGCCATCCCTGGATCTTTTGTGGGTCTGCTGGGTGGGCTCAAACCGGCAACCTTTGGGCTACTAGCTGAATGTAGACCATCTGTGCCAACCAGGGACCCTGGGATAAGGGAATTTTTGATTCCACACATACTATAATTTTGTCTACTGCTATACCTACTGATGGAAGTTAGGACTACTAGAGGGATCTGATGAGTTTCTCATTGGCTCTGGAGAAAACTGGAAACTATAAACAGTAAGTCCCCTAAAATTTTCACAAGTTAGACTGGGGATGAGTATCTTACATTTATTTGTGTGTGTATTTACTATTACTGATACAGCGTTTAAAAGAGGGGAAAAAAAAACACCTTTCTTATGAAGACTGGAATCCAGGGACTGATTTTCAATCTTAAAGGCCTCTATCACAAGAGTCAATTAAAAAGTAGTACTATAATGTCTCTCATTAAGATCATCCACTACCTCCAGATGAAATTTTTTCCAAGAAAGAAAGCAAGGTACTGCAGAAAAAGTCGGGAGCTCTGGTGGCACTGTGATTAAAGTATTTAGCTGCTAACCAACAGGTCAGCTGCTCGAACCCACCAGCAGCTCTGTAGGAAACAGATGAGGCAGTCTGCTTCCATAAAGGGTTACAGCCCTGGAAACCCTGTGGAGCAGTTTCACTCAGTCCTATAAGGTCACTAAGAGTCTGAATCAACTCGGTGGCAGTGGGTTTGGTAGAAAGAGTCAGATCTGGATTTGAATTCCAACTTGGGAACTAAATACTAGATATGAGATCTTGATGAAATTACTTAACTTTCTCATCTATAAAACAGGGCTATACCTTACTTCACAATTTAATTGTGAGGATTAAACCATATAATATGTGAAAAAGCACTTACCGCAGTCCCAGGCACATGTTTAAATACCTTCCTCCCCTTAACGCAATGTCATAATCCCAAGAAGCATACAGCTATTCAAAGTGTGCCAACAAAAAGCAGTATAAAAACATTATGAACTATGTCAATCGGAAAATGTGACAAAAGCACCATCTGTTCATACTCACTAATAATTTTTACATAAAAAACCTACTAGAAGATACCCTAATATTTTGAGAGAATGCAACTACTGATGTACTTTGACAGATTAAATCCCAATGATTTCTTCTAAAAAGTGTAAAAGATTACATATGATTTAACAAAACGGACCTACACAGCTGCACACAAAAAGCTACACTGTTTGCCAGGTTGAGAAAGACAAACCTAACCTTTCTTTTCTCAGGAGGAATATATCTTAAATCTACAAATTTCCTTAGAGATACACAAAAGTAAACTGATCAAAGAAATTTAGAATGAAGGAAAGTTTTCCTTAAAACAAAACAAAACAAAAAAGACCAAAAACAATCTTTTCTAAGTACTGAAAAAGTTTGTTAGTTGTTACAATTGGTGCAAAGCAGCTGGATTTAGCAGAATACAGGACATCAGCTACTAATCATTTAAAAAAAAAAAAAAATTCTGGGAGTGGAGAAAGTGAACGACCTTCCCAATAAAACAACTGCCAAAAAACACCATACATATGTAAGAACATACACATCTGTTAAATATCAGTTTACACTGTTGCAGCCAAGTTACAAATCAAGATGAAGGATTTAAGAGCTACAAAATAAATCATACTCTACTTCTGGTCAGATTTTGCATGGGTGGCTACCGAAGAATAGTTCTCCACCCTGATTCAAAGCAAGGAGAACAAAATAATAAATCCAGTGTTCACATTCAAATATGGGGGGCGGAGGAAGGAGAGGGAGGCTCCAAGTCCATAAAGTTCTCCTCCCTCTAAAAACACTGTAAAAACTGTCCACGTCTGAAGACACTTACCCTTGAAACTCCTTGGAGAATGACTTGGAGACTTTCTGTTCAGAGTTTAGAGGGGGAGCGGTTTAGGAATGCTACAAGATTGCAACTTTCAAATACATGAACAAAATTAAAATTCTAATTTTTTTTTTCTTTCGAGAAAGATTTCTCCCCTTTCTTTCAAACAGCTGATGACCACTCTTCTATTAATAAAAGCCCTAATCCAATCTCCAACAGGAACAAAAAACAAAACCACAAAAAATCTGCAAATAAAGTACGCAGACTATTTCCAATAAGCTCTCAATTCCCTTTAACATCTCAATTCCCTTTAGGGTAAGAAACAAAAAGGAGAAACGAAATATAAATCAGAAAAAAAGTCTTGGGGAAAGAGGGCAAAAAGAAGGAGAAAGTAGGAAGGGGGAAAAGGAACAGAGCTAAAACTCAGCTAATGCTGACACTTATTTCGGGAAGAGGACAGAAAATATTCCGAGGACATGCGCTGGAAGGGAAGGAATGAGTGGGACAGGGGCGCAAAAGAAGACGACTACGCAAAAGGCCTACCCACCGGGGGCGACGGTGAAGAAGATAACACCAAAAGAAGCAAGACTCATTGAAAAGAGACAAACATCATGTCCCAAGAGCCTGAGAGACAGAGGATGTGCAGGTAAGGTGATTTTATACTGGCAGCCCTGAGGCCACCTAACATGCATCGGAAGACGATCCTGAGAAGGGTAAGGGGTGAAGGGTTACTGCGGGGGTTCCCAGACGTGGAAGGGGGTGCGGCCCCAGAGGTTGCAGCAGAACAGAGAACAGGCCCACGGTCCGTACCTTGTAGTAAACATCGAACTGGATGTTCTCGGGCAAGGAGCGGATGTCTCGGCGGGAGCGGGTGTAGTTGTCCACGACAGCGGAGATGGCGGTGTTATAGAGAGTCTCCGGGATCCACTCTAGTTCCACGGCCGCCATCTTCCTTCCCTCCTCCTCCGCCTCCTCCGCCTCCTCCTCCTCCTCCCGAAGGCCCCCGCCTCCCTCCGTAGCGAACTCCTCTGCGCCCCCGGAGGATTCGGAGGCGCGGCGGCAGCCACGCGGGCACACGACAGAAGGGCACGACCGCCCTGGCTCCTGGGGCGAACTGTGGGACAGCAGCAGAGTACACAGGCTCGGATAAAGAGTGGGCCAGAGAGCAGGAAACAGCCCGACCCAGGCCTTACATTCCGGGTTTGCGAGAAACCCAGGTCCGTCCGAACGCCAAGCTCTGCAGGGGACGGACTGCGTGTACGGCGTCATGACGTAAGCGGACGCGATGCGCTGGGAGGGAAGGAATGCGGCAGGCGAGAAATTTGGGGTGACGAGAGCAGTGATCCCTCCCACCGAGAACGTACTTTGTAAGGGCGCCGGAAGTTGGGCGGATGGGGGTAAACTTTTTACACACGTGCAAGTTAGAACGGACCTTGTTTCTCCCGGTTCCGAGTCATTTAAGCGCTTCAGTTCTTCATTTGCATCAGGAGTTTTTAGACACCGACCCTTTTGATTCTCAGGTAAAAGTTTGGACCCTCTCCTCACAAAAACGCACGATTATCTTTACGTTAAATATATATATATGGAGGGAATTCACGGCACTCCAGAAATCCTTCCATAGGCTCAGGACCCCAGCCCAAGTCCAAGAATCACCCAGTCCAGGAAGTAGGGGTTCAGACGAAGAAAAACTTAATTGTGTAACCATTTGCACTGTTTGAACATTTTACCTTGTTCGTTTTTCCAAGTAAAATTTTAAGAAAACAAAAAGTGAAAACACCTGCCCTAGAAAATTTGGTAGTACTTGCAAACTGGTGAGAGAAAAGAGGCTAAATAATCGCTGTAATAGGACTTAATGGGATTTAGTTGTTGTTGTTGTTATGTGCCCTCGAGTCAGCCCTGACTCATAGCGACCCCTCCTTGGGTTTCCGAGACAGTATCACTACGGAAGTAGGATTGCCCAACCTTCCTTCCGAGGAGTGG